CTGGAAATCTTGGGTTCAGTTCCAAGCTCTGAAACCCATCTTGGGGAAGGGCCTTTGCCTTTTCAAGTCTAAAAGGTTTAGAGACCAAGTTTTCTGGAGCTAAATTAGGGTCTAATGTTCCTCCTGTAATAGTTTTACAAACATGGAAATTAACTTGCATATGGCTGACAGTGGTACTCATGTTTTGTAACCATAGCAATGAAAATCATCCTTGTTCTCTGAGATACAAATGAATTTTGTCCAAAGAATACTTATCTTTTAGTCCCAATTCTCATTTGAACTAGTTATAACTAGTTTATTAGTTCTATCATTAATAAGTAAAATAAAATTTCTGGCACATATTTTCTTGTATATGACTGTCATGATTTTACATTTTTTACCTGTAAAAAATGTTTCCTTTAACAGTTAAGATATTTGGGGGCCGGGGATTTAGCTCAGCAGCATAAGTGCCTGCCTGGCAAGCTCGAGGTCCTGAGTTCAATCCCCTTACCTGCAGAGAGCTGGGCGTGGTGGCTCACGCCTATAATTCCAGCACTCAGGATTCTTTTTTCTGTATTGTTATCATTTCTAGCACAATGACAAGTACAGAGTATGTCTTTAATGCTGTTTGTTTGTTTGTTTGTTTGTGACAGGGTCTTACTATGTAGACCAGGCTAGCTTCAAACACATGATCTTGCTGCCTCAGGCCTCCAAGTGCTAGGATTATAGGAATGAACCACCACACCTGGCTTATAAATGCTTATTGAATGGAAAATCATAAAATAGTCTAGTCAGAGACAAAAGCAACAGATATATATAAAATCTGATAACTCTGAGGAGTCCCAGAACAGAGCCCCAAGATACAGAAAATACGCCCAAACCAAAGTAGTGCAGAGGCTGGGGGTGTAGGACAGTGGAGTTTGCTTAGCATGGCAAGGTCCTGGGTTCAATCACCAGTGTTCCCCTTCACTTTCAAAAAAAAAGGCTATGGATAAGACTCAGTCTCAGTCTGATGTCATATTAGAAAAAGTTTCATGAGACGTGAGCATTGATTTTGGACTTAAAAGAATGAATACAAATTTTGTAGGCAGAAGATGGAGGAAAGGAACCTCTTTGTAATTCAGAAATTGCAGTAACAAAGGCCTAGAAGCACACGGAAATCAATGCTCCTGTCAACAACAAGGAAAAGAGGTCAGACTGAATGCACCAGGTGCGTGAAGGGCCAGTCAGGAAGGAGCGTGATGGTAACACAGAGGTCATTTTAAGGACCTTTGTCTGGGTCTGGTCATCTTGCAGAGGTGTTAGGGAGCCATTAACATTTTTGAGTTAGAAAAGAGTTGTTTTATGTTAAGAAGTTTAACTTGAAAAAAAAAAAGTTTAACTTGGAAGCAGCACGTAGAATCCATTGGAGTTGACATAAGTAGATAACAGCCAGGCAACTGGAGATATGAAACTGGACTCACACTGTGCATAGTGGCACATACCTGAAGTTCCAGCAATTCAGGAGGCTGAGCCAAGAGGCCAAGGGTTCAAGGCCAGCATGAGAAACAAAGCAATGCCCTGTCCCCCCCTCCCAAAAAAAAACTGCTGGAGCTTAGACATACATTGGGGATAAAGATAGGATATGTGAATTATCACAGCAGAGGATATTTAAAATGAGAGGACAATCCCGAATACGTTTTAACTCAGTGACGGTGTTTAATATTCTCTTACTTTTTACCGTTCCCCTGTCCCTACAAGCCTTGAGCTCCTCAGACTGTGGACTCAGTGTGAGGATTTTGTTCTATTCCCCTGTGTTTTATCAGTAATGAGCACAGTACTTGCCCCAGGAGCTCAGTAAATAGCTGCTGAGGAAAGATTCAGACAAAGGAAAAAAAAAAAAAAAAAAAAAACTTTTGTTGTTGCTGGGGACGGAACTCAGGCTCTTCACACTGAGTTGGATCTCCAGGCCCTTTTGTTTTTTAAGATAGGCTCTTGCTAAGTCACTGACTTGCCCAGGCTAGGCTTGAACTTGCAGTCTTCCTATCTCTGCCTCCAAGGCATGCACTCCTGCGCCTGGCTGAGAAAACATTTTTCTTAGAAAGATGGTAAAAGTAAAATGGATTATGCTGCTGAAGAATTTTGATGTCATGGAGAAAACTGATGGAAATTTTATTAGCTAGCCTTAAATCTTTTCAGCAGAAAAGATTTGCTCGGCATCTGATGAGTGGCAGAGCATCACGTGATTGAAGAAGGGTTAAGGGTTTAGAGTGAAACACTCTGTAACAGCTGTAGCCCAGATCATGCTCCTGAGCCTCCCAGGTGCTGACCTGCCTTTTCAGTACTGCTCTCCGCATCTGGAATGCTCCGTCCAGCCTTTTTCCTTCTGCTTCCCCTTGTCTCTTACTTAGTTGCCTCGTTCAAAACCTGAAGCACACACCACCAACTTTTCTGAGACACTCCCCCAATACTGTTTCAAGTAAATCATTCCTTTTTTATTTTATTTGGGGACCGGGGATCAATCTCACAACCTAGCGCTTGCCAGGCAGGTGCTTATGTGCTGAGCTAAATCCCCATCCCCATTCCTTTCATCTATGTTTATATTTTTTCTACTGATAATTCACACCAGATTATAAATTACTTGAAGACAAGAAGAGAGACTTACTCATCTGAATGGCTTCTTCAGACCTAGCGAGAAACATTCATTCCACGTTTGCTGATGTTTAAATCAAAGGAGTTTAAGAATGTGATTGTTGAGTTGCAGGGAAAATAAAGCTGAAGTACAGGACTGAAGTCTTTGGGGACCAGGTCAGCACGGCATTTTGTGACTAAGAGGAGTGACATACTGAGAGAACCCAGGAAAGGGTAAAGAACCAGATGCTGTTGTGCAAGCAAACAAAAATTCACTAAAAGTTTAGAATTTTTTTTTTTTTTCTGCTAGGGAAATCTAAACTTTGGTCTCCAAAACTGGGAAAACAATGACGTTAGCACAGTGTATTTGTGTTTTATGGAAAAAACCTAATTTTTCCCACTAATTTATTGTTACTGAGCTGCCATAAAGCACAAAAAGGGAAACCAAACAAGGAAGCCCTCAGTTTCACACCTTTGTTTTAACCATTGACCTTTCTTTCTCTTTTTTTTTTTTTTTTTTTGTCTTTTTTGAGACGGGGCCTTGCTATGCAATTCAGGCTGGCCTTGAACTCACTTTGTAGCTCAGGCTGGTCTTGAACTCACAAAGATCCTCCCACCTCAGTCTCCCAAGTGCTGGGATTACAGGCGTGAGCCACCGCGCCCTTCCCTTCAGTCAGACTCTCAAATTTTATAAGACAAAAAAATTGATTTTTCACTTTCACTTTTTCTTTTCCATTTCTAAACTTCCTATAAGAACAGTTAAATTAATGCAAGAGCTAAAAGAGAGACAGAGATAACTGTGACCCATAAGAACACTGACTTGGTTTTTTTTTGTTGTTGTTGTTGTTTTGTCTTTTTCGTTTTTACCGGTACAGGGGATCAAACTCACGACTGCCTGCTTGCAAGGCAGGCACTTATGCCGCTGAGCTAAATCCCAAGCCCCTTGACTTCAATGTTTTTAAATTTCTGTTCAAATAAATCCTGGTTCTGCAACCCTGTCTGAAATGGGGATAAGAACTATTATGGGTTGTATCTAGATACTCACCCAAGGTCTCATGGAGTCACAGGTGGGCTGTTTTCCAGAAGTGGCTGAGTCTAGAGTATGTAATTAGTTCATGGTGCAATGTTAGGATTAAGAGCAGTGCTACTGGGATTACTACCCTAAACCCAGTAGACGGGATCCAAAACAAGGGACAGAAACAGGCTTGTCTTCCCCTTGTTGCTTTTGCTATATTCTACCTGCCATTAATTGTTCTCCTCTGCCAACCCACCCTTGGAGCTAGCTGATTATGGACTGAAACCTCTACAAATTGTGAGCTAAATAAATAAATGTTTCCCCTTTTTTTTTTTTTTTTGGTATCAGGAATCGAATTCAGAACCTCACGCTTGCCATGCAGGCATTGTGCTGCTGAGCTATATCCCCAGCCCTTTTTTGTCTTTTTGAGACAGGGTTTCACTACACAATTCACAATGGCATTGAACTTACTCTGTAGCCCAGTCTGGCTTCAAACTCAGTGATCCTTCTGCCTCAGCCTCCCAATGCTGGGATTACAGGCACACACCACTATGCCTGGCCTAAACTTTTCCTTCTTTAACTTTGCATGTTGGGTATTTTGTCTCAGCAACCAAAAAAGTAACTACTTAGGGAAAACACGAGTACTTGGAAAACTGGGGTGAGATATGAACTAGATGGCATTTAACAACACCTAGCTAGCATTAGGAGTATAGTGTACTTTAAAGAAACCACATGCGGGGCTGGGGATTTAGCTCAGCGGCATAAGCACCTGCATTGAAAGCAGGCAGTCGTGAGTTCAATCCCTGGTACTGATAAAAATGAAAAAGACAAAACAAAAAAAAAAAAAGAAACCACATGCAAATAGTAGAAAATGCAAAAAATAAAACAGGGCACAGTGATGGATGCCCATAGTTCTAACTACTCAGGAAGCTCAGATAGGATTATCACAAGTTTGAGACCACTCAGAAATTTAGCAAGGCCCTTTCTCAAAATTTTTAAAAGCAGCTGGTAAGTAGCTCAGTGGTGCTTCACACCATTAATTGTGTGAAATATTCTATGTTTAATATGTGTATAGCTGTATACTTACAAATGTTCCTCCTTCCCTTAACCTAGATAGGTGACCTTCACTAATTTGTATTCCTAACTCATAAAAAGGAGCATTTCTGAGCATCCAATGAAATAATTAGTGCTTTTTAGTTAAGTGCTACATGGTAGAAGGTATTAGTCTTGGCCAGAGAGATGTTTAAGAACAGAGGTCTCTTGGATCCTTTAAAATCAGTTCCAAGCGTGGCTACTTCGTGCTTTAGGAATCCTCCCTTTCCTCATCTTAGTAATGTCAGCAGATAAGGAAGACTGAGAGCCTCACTGTGTGACCCTGCCTTGTGCTGTCCTACAGGTGATCACTTACTCCAGCCGTCGCGTCTATAGTAACTTCTCTGAGGAGCAGAAGGGCCGAGTGGCCTTTGCGTCCAATTTCCTGGCAGGAGATGCGTCCCTGCAGATCGAACCTCTGAAGCCCAGTGATGAGGGCCGGTACACGTGCAAGGTGAAGAACTCAGGGCGCTACATGTGGAGTTACGTCATCTTAAAAGTCTTAGGTAAGGCAGGTGCCCAAGTAAACATCTCCATCCTAATGAGGTCTCTGGAAGGGACTCTCAAGTGCATCATGGTGCTATAAAACTTTGTGTTAAGTACCTGTATTATACATTTATAGGTCACCCAGTCCAGTTCCCTACAAAGAAGCACTTATGTTCTATGTATTCACCATAACGAAAAAAGCAAATATAATCATAATCTTCCATAGTAGTCTACCGCAAAATGTAAATAACTTCTAACATTTGAATGGTACCTTTACATTTTATTATATTATTATTTGTGTAGGGGTGGGGGTGCTGGGAATGGAACCAGGGCCTTGTGCGTGCTAAGGAAACACTTTATCAGTGAACTACATTCTCAGTCCCTTATATTTAAATCTCTCAAGTATAAGTCAAATTCTTTTTTTATTTTCTTTGGTACTAGTGATTGAACCTGGGTCTTCTCACTGAGCTACATCCCCAGCCCTTTTTTATTTTTTTAAATTTTGAGACAAGGTCTTGCTAAGTTGCCCAGGAAGGGCTTGAACTTGCAGTCCTCCTGCCTCAGCCTCCCAGAGTGCTACTGTTGTAATTGCATACTATACCTAGCTCCCTTGTTTTCATTTTATTTTGGTTTTGATAGCACAAACTGTCAACTTATACTTAATTGCTTCCAAGTTAATATATTTTATTAGTGTTTCAGTATTAGTAAAATCATGCTAACTTTTAAGTAACCATGTTTCTTCTTTGAGATTATTTCCACACTGAGAAGTACACTGGGAGTTTCTGGAGCAACTGCTGGAAATCAAAGTAACATCACTGCTGGCAGCTAGTGTGTAGTGTAAAGAACAGGATGGGCTGCCATTGTGGGTAAAGCATGGCTACTTGAATCCCAACTCCAAAGCCAACCATAACAAGTCGCTTGAGGAAACAGCTCCACAGACCTGTTTCTCCACTGAATCTGGTATTTGGAGCAACTCTGAATCATGTCCTTTTTCTCCCCCAGTGAGACCATCCAAGCCCAAGTGTGAGCTGGAAGGAGAGCTGACCGAAGGAAGTGATCTGACACTGCAGTGTGAGTCATCCTCTGGCACAAAGCCTATTGTGTATTACTGGCAGCGAATTCGAGAGAAAGAGGGTGAGGACGAGCATCTGCCTCCCAGGGCTACGATTGGTAAGTCATCTCCCCCCACCCCCACCCCCACCCCATTCTGTTGGGCCAATGAAGTACCAATGTATCCATGGCTTCTAAATCTACTTGGTCAGCAACTCCCTCCATGACCTTGAACGTACTGCTGAATCTGAGTTCCTGTTTTTAAAATGTCATCTGTAAACTAGGATAAAAAAAAATCTTTTTTCAAATGGCATTTAAAAGTATTAAAAAAAGACTGGATGAAATATACTACGTAACTCCTTAATATCCAGGTATCTTCTTTACTACCCCCTCAAATGTTCACAATCTTTTGTAACTTTTTGCCTTTTTTTTTTTTTTTTTTTTTTTGTACCAGGGATCAAACTCACCATCTTGTGCTTGCCAGGCAGTCGCTTATGCTGCTGAGCTAAAACCCCGGCTCTTTTGTAACTTTTGAGGATGTACTATGGTTTAAAAAAATATTTACTTGCTTTTTCACATTCTATCACCTCATTTTTATCAAACTGTACCATCTTAGGTAAACCATGCAATCAATAAACTGGTACAAGTTTACTGTCTTTATGCTTGTCTAGACTTCAACAACCCTGGCCGAGTTCTTCTGCACAACCTCACTATGTCCTCTTCTGGGCTGTATCAGTGCACAGCAGGCAATGAGGCTGGGAAAGAAAGCTGTGTGGTGCGAGTGACAGTACAGTGTAAGTGTCCACAGGGGTCTTCTGTTTCAGTATTCGGTTTTGTGTGCTGTTGTGTAGTATAAGATGTTTTAATCAAAAGCAAAAGTAAGATCAAAGCCAAAAGGATATAGTTACTACCAAAGTAAATTCAGCAGTTGCAGGGACCATTCAACAACTAACTCTTCTAATAAACGTGGGAATTAAATAGCCTCCTACAGACATGTACTTTGAGACTCGGGAATTGATTTGGTGGTAGAATACCTCAGTTTGAACCCCGCAAAACTACCAGAAAAACTTTTTTGTTGTTTTTTTGAGACAAGATCTTGCTATGCAGTTCAGGCTGGCCTTGGGCTCACTTTGTAGCCGAGGCTTATCTAAAATTTACAACAATCCTCCTGCTTGAGCCTACATTTCCTAGCTTACGTTCACCTGTGCTTCTGTTTCTGAGAAAACAGATGTACACAGCATCGGTATGGTTGCCGGAGCAGTGACAGGCATAGTGGCTGGAGCCCTGCTGATATTCCTCTTGGTGTGGCTGATAATCCGGAGGAAAGACAAAAAAAGATATGAGGAAGAAGAGAGACCTAATGAAATTCGGTAAGCCCCACGTCCCCACCCCTAATGGGCTTGCTCTCTAGAACCAGTTCCATGGCAATCAGTAAATATATATATCCTCGGTTTCCTCTGAACATGAATTCTAGTAGGTAGGAAGTTATAGCCTAGGAACGAAGATCTGGTTTACTGGGATTTTATTCTCAAACTATCCTTAACAGAAGTTGAAGATTTGATTTTATACTGGTTCTGATTCACTTCCACTTTTAAATGGCATGCAGTAAAGGATGAGTATACTTATAGACTATGAAAAGGTTTATGTATACAAACCCTAAATTAGGGCAAGTGTACTATCTCATGGTAAGACTTATCCTCCCAAAGTAAAAAGGATGGATTTCTGAGGTAACAAATCAAACAATTGCATAAACCAAGCATTAAGTCTCAAGAGGTGAACCTGGGTGTGGTGTCTCACGCCTGTAATCCCAGCATTTGGGAGGCTGAGGTGGGAGGATCCTTGCGAGTTCCAGATCGGCCAGGGCTACAAAGTGAGCTCAAGGCCAGCCTGAACTTCATAGTGAGACCTCGTCTCAAAAAAGACCAAAAAAAAAAAAAAAAGTCTCAAGAGGTGAAGAGGTGCTCAGTTCCCTAAATGTCTGCTGATGGTATATTTGAGGTTTACAGTTTGAGGAATTGGGGCAGGGGGGGGGGCGGGGATTCAGAATGAAGTAACCATAGCAGAGTTAGTCACAGTCCCACCAGTACTGAAGTTTATCTTTGCTATTTTTCTCTTTAGAGAAGACGCTGAAGCCCCAAAGGCCCGCCTTGTGAAACCTAGCTCTTCTTCCTCAGGCTCCGGGAGCTCGCGCTCTGGCTCTTCTTCCACTCGCTCCACAGCAAATAGTGCCTCACGTAGCCAGCGGACAATGTCAACTGAAGCAGCACCCCAGCCAGGGCTGGCCACCCAGGCATACAGCCTAGTGGGGCCAGAGGTGAGATGCTCTGAACCAAAGAAAGTCCACCACGCTACCCTGACCAAAGCAGAAACCACCCCCAGCACAATCCCCACCCAGAGCAGAGCCTTCCAAACTGTCTGAATGAGAGTGGACTTGACTCCGTGATTTGCTAGGAGTCAGGATGTCAGGACTCTCCCAGCCACCGGAACTCTGCCCACTGGAACTGTCACCAGCCACACAACTCCCTGAGAGAAGATAAAAGGTCATTTGAGCAGCAGTGCACATCACATGGAACAGATTCAGATGAGCACTTTCCTTATATGATACCAGACAAGCAGGATATAAACTGATCATTTCCAAAAAGGCATCTCATTGTGCTTCTAGACTGGAGTTGGGGAACAGGAGTGCAAATCTATTTGTTGAACAGGAGGTTCTAAGACTGGGGAAAAGGGAGGTGAACACACCTAAAATTTCTCCTCTAGGATGTTTTGTACCAGTGCTTCAATTCACGATGATCAAGAAGCAATGGGTGTTGTTCCTAAATTTTCTATGCATTTCTGCAGACTACTGAATTATTGTGATTACTCAGATAGTCAAACGAAATCCACAGCCTTATATTTTACCTGTTTGCACCATATACTGAGATAATTCTAAGAAACTCCCAGAAAGGAAACATGTCTTTTTTTCTCACATGACTTCATCTGTCATAAGGTTTGGAAATAAATTGCAAGAGGAGTGGAAATAGTGGCAGATGAAAAAGAATGATTTGAGCTTCTCCTTCATCGATTATCAATATCCTGACTTATACCGACTCCTGAAATAAAAAAGTGGTCTAGAATGTGTGACACAGGTCTATGAAAAGCTTTGACATTCAGAGAGCACTGCTACCAATACAAGACATATTTTACTAGCACAACTGTGGAATTTCCTCTCCAGTCAGATGGCTCTGAGGATTTCTGAGCTGGCTGTATCTGGAGGAGGGAAGAATTCAGTAGGTGTCACTTAACAATGTCCTTAGAACAAAGTCCTCTAGGGAAAGTAAGATCTAGGGGTGTTGAAAGATACCATACCACTATCATTTATTCTTCCTGAAAACATGTGAAACCAGAATTTCAAGACTGACTAGACTAGAAAGGGAGATTACATCGTTTTTTTCATAATATGTTAAGGAATATGAAGAAGTTCAGACTTGAAGATTCCTCTATTTCTTTCATTTTAGAAGGATATGAACCTGGGACTTTTGATGTTTCTAGACTTTAATTATCAAAAAGACCACAGATTGCCAGGATTTCATAATGGGTGTGCAAGTATATGCCATAGTCATTTCCTCCTGAGTGGCTGAAACGAGAAATTCAGTATTTTCCCAACTTCAACTTCTAAGAATGCTAGATCTGGGCTGAAAAGAAAGGAAACTAACATTTAGGGGAGACATACTTAAAAACAACTAGTGGATGGCAGGACAAGGGCTTAACATTTTAGCTGTCAGAATCTTGGAGAGAACTGACTGAAAGAGCTGATGCAGAAGAGTGTCTGACAAAAAGCAAGCAACAGACTCCAGTATATTAACCTGGTATTTTAGTAATTTTGACTACGTGGATTCCTACAGCAAAGGCTGACCTTAAGCGGCCCTTTAAAGAATTTAACACAAATGTCAATTGGTCACCATCAATCAGTAATGCAGAATATTTTTTAAAAGGGCAGCAAGTTAGAGGAAGAAAAGTGAATGCTGAATATGGTGATGAAACAAGAATCAGAGACTTACAAGGAAAAGGCTGAGCTGAGATTTCGCCCCATTGTCTCTGGTTTTTCATTCCTACATTTAATTCTTGTAATAATGTCCTCAGAATATAGATGCATTCTCTTTCAAAGCACCTGAGTACTTACCTTAGGGAGGGAAGTTTTTAACTTTGGAGAGAAAAGTTCTTAGTGGTGCTGGGGAGCAAACCCAGGACCTCATGCATGCTAAGCTGAAAGTTTTAACCTAAGTTTTATCTTCCTCTAAAAAAAGAAAATAAAGATATTGAAGAAGTAACAAAAAGAAATGTTTATTTGGTTAAGACAACTGGCACATTTGGAATGCTTCTTTTATTTGTATTTCATTGTTAAGTTATAAAACCCCTTAGTCTTGGCTACATTTTCTTTCTGCAAGTGTGGTATCCAGGCAATTTTTCTCTTGGGCTGTGTAATTCTGAGAATTTTTTTTTTTTGTCTTTTTTTCTTTTTTATCAGTACCGGGGATGGAACTCACGACTGCCTGCTTGCAAGGCAGGCACTTATGCCGCTGAGCTAAATCCCCAGCCCCCATTCTGAGAATTCTTATTCCTAGAATACCTGGCTAAATGAGCACACTATGGAAGGCTATACCTGCTTTTGTTATTCACTACCTTTGAACCTGAGGTTTCCTGTCTATACCTTTGAAGAAAGGAATAAATCCCCATTGCATTAAAAGGTTATCAAAAGACTGGCTGGTCCGATGGCAGTGGGTTATCAGAACTTATTAACATTAGTGTCACTAAAGTTGGTATACCACCCCCCCACTGCTAAATTTGACTGGCTTTAAAAAAAAAAGGTCATCAAAAGACTAAAATACCATTAAATGCCCAAAATATTTTGTCAATGTATTCACAATGGAAATCTGCAACAAATACACAAAACAGATACTAAGAGCTGAGAAATCTATGGAATGAAAGATTCTTAGAGATAAGGTGCTGAAGTCTTAGCAATTATCCCTAGGTCCTCTCTAAATCAGGCATGTGAGTTCAGATGAGATTAGGCTCTGAATTTGAGATCAAATTAAAGCCTCAACTGGTTCCAAACCACATTCCACTAACTTTGCAAATAAATTGATCTTTAATATGAAACAAACTAAAAAAGCATAAAGTAACTAAATGGTAGAAGAAAAACTGTAGGAAGACAATACTGGAATCATGTGGATGTTTAGAAGATAATTGCTTCAATAAAACATATAAGCTAGAAACTTAAAATCTGTAAAATAAGGAAATATATGTCTTTGTTGTTACATTGGAAAAAAATAATTTTAGAATTGCTGTCCCAAAGATACACATATAACTTTGCCTCATTTCTGGTATTTAGTTATTTATGTTTCAATTTTAATTTTTAAATTTCCTTGTAATTGTGATCAGGCATCACAAAAATCAAATGTTATAGATGCATCTGTATCAGCAATGAAAAAATAAATAAGTGAAGGTGATACTGCAGGCGAAGATGAAGCTCATATAACTCACACTGGAATTTACCAGCTTGCTGCCAAGAGAACTCAGACTGAATATGATCTATTATTTACTGATTTCAGTTACAAAAATACCAAGGAATTTTTTTTCTCATAAGGCAAGATACTAAATACAATCAGCACAGAGGACACAGAGATAAGACTGTTGCTGCACTTAAGAACTTTATTGAACAAATAATAATCACTAAGAATGTTGTACCAAGGTAAAGTACCAACAGAGAAACATGCACTAAAGTACTCCAATAAATCTGAAAAGATTGAGCCGGGCATGGTGGCTCATGCTGTAATCCCAGCACTCAGGAGGCTGAGGCAGGAGGATCATTGCGAGTTCAGGACGAGCCTAGGCTACAAAGTGAGCTCAAGGCCAGCCTGAAGTGCATAGTGAGACCTAGCCAAAAAAAAAAAAAAAAAAAAATCTGAAAAGATTAGTGTATACTAAGAGATTCACAAAGCAAAACAAAATCTTCACATTAGTCCATCAGAATATAATAGCAAGAACAGTAATTATCATGTGCCAGGCACTCTAGTAAGCATATTATGTATTTTGTCTCAGTTTCATACTCATACCAAACCTATGTTTCTATTCTCAGTTTACAAATGACAGATCTGAAGTCCAGAGCATCAGAAGCAGTGCTAGGACTTAAACCCACTCATGTTAGTATACTCATTAACATTGCTGAGCTTGATTAATCTCCATTCTCATCCCCAAACTTTTATCCTAAACAGGGGAGAGGGGCTTTCCTTTCCCACTGCGTTCATCCTTGCTCTAATTTAGATTCCACATCTCTTAATTCACTTGTACAGTAAGTTGCTTACAGAACTACCTGCAAATTAGGATAAAATTTCCAGCTTTGTTAACTACTTATGATGTTTTTATATGATGAAGTAATAATGGGCTTACATCATATAATGTTTATAACCTCTTTTTTTTTTGAGACGGGGTCTCGCTATGCAGTTCGGGCTGGCCTTAAGCTCACTTTGTAGCCCAAACTGGTCTCAAACTCGCAACAATCCTCCCACCTCAGCCTCCCAAGTGCTGGGATTACAGGCCTGAGCCACCATGGCGGGCTAGTTTATAATCTTTGCTGAATTTTAATTATAGAGTAAATTGAATACATTGAGGTTAAGACTGTGTCAGAGATTATGGTACAGATCATTGGTAGAGTGTTTGCCTGGCATGTGTGTAAGCCTGTTTGATCCCTAGCACCACACAGAGCACTACCCCAAAGAAAAAAATCTGTCAAATCTTCTAAGTGGTAAAAAGACAAGTTACCGTAAGACTACAAAATCATAGGGATAGTTAATTGTCTGAAAATGGCAAAGGTCTATAATTTATTTAAAATGTTTACAAAGCTCAACCACTTTAGATATCTCATATTTAGAAATGTTTACAATTATTTAGGGCTGATGTTTCACACCCTCTTTTTTTTGTTATTTCATTTTTGTAGTATTGGGCATCAAATCCAGAGCCACACATATGCTAGGCAAGCATTCTATCCCAAGTTACCTCCCTAGTCCTCTTGTTATTAAAAAATGATAATAATCATCATATTCAATCCGTATTGCTATTTATAAATAGCTCCAATAAATATTTCAATTAATAAATAGTACGAAACAAGGCAGGGTAGCAAACACCTGTAACCCTTGTGTTTTGGAGACAGAGACAGGAAGATCACTAGCATGCTACCTAGCAAGTTCAAGGCCTGCCTCAACTATGTAGCAAAAGCCTGTATCAAATAAACCAAAGCAAAATAAAAATAAAGCCTGGTATGGTGGCACGTGCCTATAATCTGAGTATTCCATAGGTTGAGGCAAGACTGCTGTGAGTTTGAGGTCATACACTGTGAGTTCTAGGCCAGGCTGAACTACACAGCAAGACCCTGTCTCAACAAACAAACAAAGGGGGTCTGGGGATTTACCTCAGAGGCATAAGCGCCTGCCTTGCAAGTGTGCGGTCGTGAGTTCAATCCCTGGTACCGATAAAAATGAAAAAGACAAAAACAAACAAAGCACAGGTACATTTGTTGGCACATATCTATAATCTCAGCAACTCAGGAGGCTGAGGCAGGAAGTCTACAAATTGGAAGCCAGCCTCAGCCATTTAGCAAGGCACTGTCTCAAAAACAAAAACAAAAAAAGTTTTTTAAAAAAGAACTTACTAGCTGGTCATGGTGGCATATGCCTGTAATTCCAGTACTCGGGAGGCTGAAGGAGAATTGCTATGAGTTTGAGGTCAGCCTGAACAACAAAGCAAAACTGTCTCAAAAAAAAAAAAAAAAGACATTATATGATAGCTCAGCAGCAGAGAACACCTGGGTATTATCCCCAGTACTAAGATACACGAATAAATAGAAAAGCAAAATTAATACAGTGCTTAGCACATTGCTCTGCACATAACCATGTAATAAAATAGCAACAAGGACTCTACCAGTGACACACACTAGACTTGAGTGTTCAAAGAGTATAATCTGGTTAGGGAGGAAAGACATAATAAGAAGGAAAGATGTTGGGATTACTTATATATATATGCTATCCTCTGATAGCAATAATCTGCACCTGGCTGCAGTTAGTAAAAAATTAACTTGAGTGTTCATTCTGGTTCCAGACTTCCTTAATGAAATGCAGTAAATAACATTCAAGCCTTGGGCAATTAGGGCAACTTCTAGTCTTGTCCCTGGATCCAAAAGGAATTGTTTCTAATAGCTGTGGTTTTAATATATGGAACTTCTAGCCGGGCGTGGTGGTGCACTCCTGTAATCCCAGCACTGGGGAGGCCTGAGGCAGGTGGATCATTGCAAGGTCGAGACCAGCCTGGGCTACAAAGTGAGCCCAAGGTCAGCCTGAACTGCATAGTGAGACCCCGTCTCAAAAAGACAAAAAAAAAAAAAAAAAAAAAAAGGAACTTCCGTATAAGTTTACCATTGTTTTATGTTGACACCATATGACAGAATTCTAATACAAATTAACCAATTAAATTCTTTTTTTTTGGTCTTTTTGAGTTAGGGTCTCTCTATGCAGTTCAGGTTGGCCTTGAACTCACTTTGTAGCCCAGGCTGGTCTGGAACTCACAACAATCCTCCTGCCTCAGCCTCCTTGGAGTGCTGAGATTATAGGTGTGAGCCACCCACACCTGGTTTAACCAATTAAATTCTAAATTTAAACCTTTTGGAAAGTCACAAGGTTGTCTACTCCAGGTTAAGTGGGATTTACATATTGTCTAATGAAAATGGTGATTCAAATAATGTTTAGACATTTCAATAAATGGTACCCTAATACTCTAATTTCAATAATTCCAGCAATTGTAAAAGAAAACAATATACTTAGTTTATTTTTTCTTACTGTGACCTAACCCTATTAGGGCTTTCCTTTTTTCACAGAACACTAGGGAAGAAGTGCTAACTAACCATAACTATGTCCAAAATGACTTTCTTTTGAATGCAATCAAATCCTACCTGTATGCACACCCAGAACATAAAACTAACCACACCAGTCTGCTTCCTCTCATTTATCTTCCTTATCAGGTTCCAAAAGTTAAGGAAAACAGAAGGGTTCCTAATGGTTTATGAGTCTTAGGTATCTTTGAGAATTTGATAAAAGACTTTGGATCCACTGATATTACAGACTTAAAAATCCCAGGGAAAGGGGAGTTTCTGTGACAGGAAAGATAAGAAAATTTCACATTATTTTACACTGTCCTCCTAACAACTTTGATGGCGCTGTTTTACAGTAAGAGAAACTGAAATTACCTGTCATTATGCAGGTATATGGCTAGAATTTGAATCTAGACCTGACTCTAAAGTCCATGCTCCCCTGTAGTACATACAGCATAAGACAAGCAAAACAAGGATGTATGCTTTATACTGACAAGGCATTTGGGGCAGACTATAACCTGAGAGAATGATGGATAAAGGGATTGTAAAAGCCACACCGTGCTAATCTCCATTTTAATGTGATTTCACCTTTCACCAAGGTTGGTATTTTATATAGCAGAAAGGTAGATGTTTTAAGAGGGCAGATACTAGTCACACTAAGTATGAATTCTGACAGTCTCACCTGGTGTCTTGGCTTAATCATCTAAACTTTTAGTTCCTTATCTACAAAATGGAGACAATAACTGCTACTTAAAAGATTTATGGTGAAGATTGAGAAAATACAAGCAACCCATTTAGCGCAGTGCTTATTGTCCTATTCCTCAATCAGAAGCCCCAAGCTCTATACTCCTTCTTAGTAATCTCTATATCCAAATCTTACTTTTAGATCTTGAATGTGTCATTTGAAGCCCTGGGTATTTAAAGGAACATTCACCACATTTTGAACTTTTAATATGTAAGTTCTGAATCATTCTACTTAGTAAGTATATGGTCTCTAGTCCTAGTGAAATAGGGGAAATAATGGTCTCTCAACCTGCTAGATGTCAGACACCACGTTCATTTTCCACAAAATCGAAAAAAAAAATGTATTTTAAGAAACAGTGGATGTTAAGAGTAGGAAAAATTTATCAAGTGAGCTCCAGAGACAAGCAGGGACCCCAAAGTGCATTGCCACAGACTCCACTTCGCAGAGCAAGTGTTATAAAGCAAAATCACAAGGTGGGTACAAAATCATGAGGTGGGTATAAAATGGGCCAAAACTATGATCAACAAGTTTACAGCTATAGGTAATAATGATCCAATGGGGAAGCAGGTCACACAGCAAGTATACATGGAAAAGAATGAAGACCTTCCAAGGAAGGATCAGGAGGTCCAGGTCACCTACCTGGGTGACTGATGTCTGCCTCCACTTTATTGGACCAGGTGATATAGTATAATTATAGTATAATCTTTAATTTACTGCTTATCCCTTGGGCAGGCATGTAGGCCTGGTCATTCTGTCTCTATCTTGAGGTCTGGCCTTTTGACAGATACACCTCCAGCCACAGTTGCAATGTGTTCTCATCTGCACCGATTCCCTTGAGGGCCCAGCCCTGTC